AATTATCCGCCACGTTTGTCCACATAGGGTGTCCCGTTACGCACAATCTGTCCACGCTGCGTCCCAACATATTACGGTTTATAGAGTAATACTATGTTGTTTAGAACAACCAACTTTTTCAGAAAAGCGGAAAATTCCGAAAAAGTGAAAAAGCAGCTTTACTTAACTAAACCTAGGTTTTAAATGTAGAGGAAGCCCGTTCATGTAAACACATAACAGAGTGAATAAGGCAGCATAAATAGAATTACGCTAGAAAAAAGTCATCTTGTGATTTTTGGAAGATGGTGTGCTACATATATAAAGTACGGCCGTTACCAACCATCCCGAAGTTAGAATGTGTGTATTTCAACATGGTTTCACGAGAATCGCCTGTTGTTTCTTCTGTTGATACATTGCTTGACATGCGTTGGACCAGATTTTTGCTTGATTAGACCGACAAGGACGTCACAAAAATAACATTTTTCCTTTGTTTATACGTGAGCAGGCCGGACAGTGACTAATGCATTTAATTGGGACTGTTAGGTGCAATCCTAAAAGTACCTTGTTTGTACCTTAACAGGACTTTCCTTTCGTCACATTCCTTGGTAACTATTTCGGGATTTCGATCACGCCGAGGTTCAGATCGTTCTTGAAATGGCGATTAACATTAAGATTTTTAATGGCTTCATTCGATGGTCCATAACTAAGGATTATCTTCTACGAATTTACCTAAATAGTGAAGGTTTTTGTGCATTCTATTTAATGCATCTGTCTGTTTGGGTCATGGTTTTAGAATCACCCAAAAAATGTCAACTAATTGCCGGAGAGAAACAAACGTCTGCAAAACATTCAGATATTAATAGGCCTAAGATCAATTAAAAAGCTTTCTATAACAAGTTACCTCTTGATGTAGCGCTTTAAGTAGATCTATCGGCGTCAGGTCTCTGCGTAGTTTGAAACAATAGCAAAGTGTGACCAGTTTTTTGACTTCCGAGAGTGTTAGAAATAAATCCTATGCTGAAAATGAAAACCACTCGTTTTTCTGTGCATACTGGAACAGTTTTTTAGCTTAATTCTTTATCTTTAGACCCCGTTTTAAAACTACAGATACACAGCAGAGTGGCAGAACCTACGCCACTTCATTTGTGTAAACTAGTAACCATCTGCCCGCTCCTCTTTGAAGTTTCCGCATTCCCTCATCTTCGACTGTAGATAAAATTTTTTAAAACATTCTTCATGTACGGCGTGACTGAGAAACCTGACGGCATGTTGCGGATGTTGGTATCTATGCAAAACAAGATTTTTCCAACTGAATCAGTCCTTCCTTTTCCGAAAACAATGCCATTTCTCATACTCGCATTTTTCAGATTTCCATGAACGCAAAACAAAATTTTCCGTTCTCTGAATAGAGTTTGTAGTTCAGAAGTAGAAGACGACTCGATCGCTGGGACAATATGTTTATTCGCCTGATGTTTCGAAATCCCTCGGGGATTCATCATCAGAGACATACTCACAGAACAGTAGCAGAAACAGTTT